CAAAACATGCACACACAACTCGAGACCCCCCCCCCTCGCCATCGGCCGGCCGACGTTGTTACTGGTCGCCAAGAAAACTAGTTTCCATGTCCAAAATGTTGCGGTGGGCCTTTTGGATCTTGCGCATCTTCTCGATGAACTCCTTGTTCCTGATGACTACCCCGCGAAGCGCAATCTCGCGGTAAGCCCGGCAGTAGTCTCGTGTTCGCCGGGCAAAGCGCCGCACCCGACCGATTGTCAAGTACTTGTCTATGCACAGCGACTTTTCGATGTTGTCGTGCAAGTGCTTCGGGACCTCATCATTGATCTTCCGCCGAAACTTCTGCTTGGAAAACCCCCACGAGTACTCGATCCCTACCCCCGCTACCTCCGGGTGACACTTCGGAGACGACAAAAGAATGTGTCCCCTACTCTCTACCAGGTGCTGCAGGGCTGTCCTCTCATTCTTAAAGTCAGGCAAGGCTTGCAGAACCTTTTCCACGTGCATATCGTCACTGACTCCCGCCCCTGTTGACATGCCGTCCTTCCACCACCCACGCTCCCACAGGTACTGCCTGACCCCTTTCGCTTTCCCCTCGTACCCTTCCTTGACCTTCCCCTTCGCGTTCTTCTTGTCTTTGCGCGGAGCATCCCATTCGAAAAACGGAGGAGGCGCACCTACCGCGAAAGTGCTAGTCTGAGTCTGGCCCACCGTCAGCTTCTGGTCAACACACACTGCCCCCTCGCTGAACTTCGTGCTCCACCTGCCGTTGGCGAAATACATTTTCGCCTCCTCCGGACCCAAGCACTCCTCCGTCATGACCGAATCCCGCAACACCTTTTGCTTCCCCCCATACTTGACGTTCATGTTCGATACATGCAAACCATCCTCTCGCTGCTTCCCATGGCCCGACGAGTGGTCGACCTCGAACACTATTTGCATGTCGGGATCGATGTGCTCCAAGACGTCCATCACGTCTTCGACCTGTTCTTCGAACTGGTCGTAGCCCCAGTACCCATCCTTGCCTTTTCCGTATTCAAGAAACCGGAGTCCAGGGCTTCGCGTCAGGGTTTTTTTGCCGTTCCCCTCCTCATCGCGTTTGGCGTTCACCGCCGCCAGGTCGGCATCCGAAATAGGTAAGCCGAAACCGTGTCTTTCGTCCTGAAAACCAGACACCATTTCCCCCGGCCCCTCCGTCTTTTTCCGCAGTCCGCGCACCCCTCGAATCACCCACTCTTTGCCCTCGCGTGCATACGCCTTGTAGGCACTCTCGTCCTGCCCGATGTGGTGCACCTTCTTGCCGCATCTGCACTTGTTCGGGGGGTGGAAATGCTCGCACTGGGCAGCAGCGGCCTGATCGAAGCGAACGCTGTAGTCCCCACCCTCTGGACCAAGTGCGGCGCGGAGCTTGTCGAAGTTATCGACGGAGCCGTCGTCGCGCAGGAGATCTACGTGGAATTCGATGCAGTCTTGTCCATCGATCTTGCAGTCGTACACCTCTGCGTAGAAATCTCCTTCCGGGCCTCGCGACTTAAGGCTGTCGAGTCGGTCCACCTCCTCCTGCTTGAGAGCGGCTCGTTGCACTCGTACCCACAAGGGTTGACGCAGCGCCATCTTGCGTCTCTTCTCTATGTACTCGCCGCGGTACTCGACTACCTCCTTCTTCTCGTGGGTGTCCGTGTAGAACGACTTGGTGGCCCGCTCGTACCTGCAACCCAACCTTATCATCCACGAGTGCGTCGTGGACATCGAAACCGGAAGGTTCACCTGGTACGCATGGAGCCTGGAAAGATCCTCCTTGTCGTCTTGGAGCAGAGGCCCGTTGATGTACTTGCAGACGTCCTTGATGGTGAAACGCGGTTGTGATATCATCCACGCCAGCAACGCACTCTTCAGATCCTCCTCTGACATGATCCAGTCCGGCTCGTGCGCACCCCGTGCATCCCGCCTGAAACCACCTTCCTTCCGAAAGTCTCTGAGCCACCTCAGGATCGTTGATGGCGCATAAGCCTGCGGACTAGAACCTGCTACCTTTGCCGCCATCCGCAGGAGCGAAGCCTCGTGCCGAACCAACGACGCCTCGTTGAGCAGGTCAAACCGTTCGGCATCGGCTTCCTTCACGGCGGCATCCGTTGCATGCTTGCAGCCGGACAAAACCTCGTTCGCCTTCCGCGTGAGCTCCAGCTGCTTGACGTCGCGCTCCCGCTCCTCTTTCAGCACCTCCAACGATGAGTACGCTTGCTGCCACAACCGGATTATCTGCTTCTCGGCTACTTTTTCCTCCGGCGGTTTTCCCGTGTCCTCGGCCCACGTCCTATCGCCCGCGTTCTCACCGTCCTCCACGGAAGGGAGGGGGAGGGGGAGGAGAAGGCTGGGGAGGTGGCCAGTCCGGAGGGCGTCCTGGAGACGCTTGATGTGTTGCTCGTTGGCTGCAACGTTTGCCGTCAAGTCTTTGATCCGGCCGCCGAGGTAGGCTCCACGTTGATCGAAGGCCTTTCGAAGCTTTCTGTCTCTCCTTCTCCAACCCCGCTCTATCGAGCGTTTTTCGCGGCTGGTGAGCATCTGCTGCATCGCAAATTCCGCGCGGGTCGCGTCGGAGCCAGCCCGCCGCTGTCGCTTGAACTGCCGTTCCTGTGGTCGGCCGATGATCCCGAGGCTGTTGAGCGATTTTCCTGCTTGAGCGGCGGTTGGGAGTTTGAAGCACGAGGCAGTGCGGCACATTGTTATTCGTTGTTTTGCACTACAGCAATACTTGCAGCAAGTATTTCAGAGTTGGAGATCACCCAAGTAGTACGTGATGTGCAGAGGTGCAACAACCGGTCAACCTTTCGCGAAAGTGTGACGACATCGGCGCATTTTCATGCAGAGTTTTACTTTCAGACCGAAGTACGACACATGATAACACACCCCCTGGGTCGATTTCCACAGCTCGATTACTCCACGACGAAGAGGATGCATGAACAACACGATACGTTTCCGGAGAGCTCTCGACAAGACAGCTTCAACACCGCCGTTTTCGGCGCTGCGACTCGTTCTGCTGGTGATGAATCGAGCTTTCAAAATCCGTCCAGGGGGGTGTGTTATCTTACGTCATATACGGCAGCACATCGTTGCAGCAAACACATCGGGGTGTACAGGTACCATATTGTAGCAAAAAATGTTGTGCGTACTGCTGTAGGCGCCTCTAGTACCAGAACAACAGACGAGTAATGAAGGCAACTCATGTGAACGTGGATATCACGTTGGGCGATTACACTTGTGCGTGCGAAGCATGCCGTCGAAAATTCAAAAATCTCGGCTGACGACCACATCTCCCAAAAAATGTGGTCGTGTACAAATCAACATACGCCGCCATCTCTTTTATAAGAGTGCCACCTACTTGACGTCCCTAAAAGAACATACTCGACGTAAGTCCAGCCTGCGGCATGACTGGCCGCGTGCAGTAGGTACAGCAGCAGTCGCTGGCACGGTGTCACGTGTGCTGCCGTTGCTCCGACCCCAGAAAAAACAAAAAAAATCAAAATTGCATGATCATGTCCACATCGTGTTTGTACAAGTGTACAACTGCGCAGTTCACGACTTGCCTGCTGGAAGCGTAGTACCCGCTGCAACAGGTGGGACTAGATTCTCCTTGCTGACCTCGCAGGGCTGACCACGTTGGCTGCCCTCCCAGCTGTACCTGAAGGCAAGGCTGCCACAAAGCGCTTCCTGCTCTGTGTTGCACAAGGGGCCGTACTTCTTCGTTGCCCTGTCTCCTTTCCGGCTTGTGAACATGAGCCGTAGCCGCCACTTCCCCTTAGACCTCTCTGGATAGCATACGGGTTCAGAGGTTCTCTGCCAGCCATTGCGTGTGACTGCTGCTACTAGGCTCTCCATGCTGTGCACTCCTCGGTGCCAGCGGGTGCTGTGTGCATCCGTTGTGCACAATTTCAAAAAAAAATGAAATTCCGCCGCAAAAAAAAGCGTTTCATAATTTTTTTTCCCCAGTCTTAAACCCAGATAAAATGCGGAGGGTTATCTTTTTTGGAGAGAATGTGTTCAACACGATTTCGAGAGGCATGGGCAAACCCGCTGTGATTGGCTGATTGAGCAGATGTGCCGAGCTCGTTCCAATTCTGATTCCTTCAAAATTTATGGCTGGCAGACTGAATGTTAGCTTCTTGGCTGGCCCAGCTTGTACTAGTCTAGACTACCCGTCCACACACTTTACCAAAATGAGTATTTGTCGACTACAGCGTACAGCTGTCTGGAGTGCTGCCTGTACAACAACGCCATGGTAGGTATGGTACAAGTTCGGGGTGCGCAACTGCTGTCTGAAGGGCTGTCAGAATGCGCCCTTCCGTGGACATACAGCAGTGAATGAGAACCAACCAAAGCCATCATCCCAACTGACAATCACGGACACAGCAGAAGCAGTGCAGAAAATAATCGACACAAGAATCGTTCCACAATTAATCGTTCCACATCTAAGGGGCCTTTCTCGATGCAGGTACACAATTGAGGCACCCGACCCGGGGTATCCGCGCCATCTCTGCCGATTCTCTCTATAAAACCAAACACGTCATCTTACACACCCAACACCCAAATAATGTTCGTCCGTGCGTCAAGGTTCGATGTCGTCCGTAGGAAGCCGGATATTTGCCAATTCGATGGATGTTTGGATTAGGAATCCGGATCAAAATAACTATATAGACTACATAGACTAGCATGAAATTTGAGAACATAATCAAAAGCATTTACTTAGATCCACACGACCCTCGTTCCAGAACCTCATACTGATGTGCCCAAGGCTCTTTTCTTATTTGTCCTCCGTGGGGAACGACAGCATGACAGCATGCGATGCAGAATTGCGACGGCATCAGAGTAGTATTAGCGCAAGACTCTTCACAACAGGATGGAAGGAAGTGGGAACACCTGTTTGCATATTTGTGAAGGTCTACAAAAAGAAAATCCTACTTCTCTGGGTCCGTGGGACCCTTCGTTACAGATGGCAGAAGGTACTGCTGTGAGCAGAATCGGAACGATGATGTTACATGAAACCAACAGCCAACCATATGGCAAGGCTTGTTTGTCTAACGTGTTTCACAAATAAATACTAGAAAGTTGTGTACAGCTGTACAACTTGTTGCATGCGCGACATGCAAGGGGCTTCAGACTAATCCAGACCTTATTTTTCGAAAACAAGGCGCAGAGCAACCATATTCTTGGACGGGAACCCACAAGACAGGTCTCCATGGTATGCATAGATGTGCCTTCATCGACTTTAATACTATCATTCGTTACCGGACGTATGCAAACGCCACCGCCCTTGCCAGCCCTGATAGGTAGGCTAACGCGACAGACACCTACCGACACACAAACGACGCCGGTGATTCAAGCTTCACCCGTGGCATGTGAAATGAAAAGGACCTCCGCAGCAACCTTGTCAAATTGCTGTGGCCGGTCTTGGTCCTAATCATTGGAGTCTTTTCTTCACGATAGATCTGATCCTCCGACGTGTACCACTCGGCAAGATCCTCCTATGCGTAAGCTGATGTGCTTGTCCTCAAGCCCGATGGGTTCTCTCGCCATCGCCTCATCACAATTGTCAAACATAACGTACGAATACTGAGTCCAAGCTGATGCTGTGATTGAGTGAAAAGCGTCCGTCTCTCGGAGGCAAAAAATCAAAATTTTCACGCAGGTCACTGCTTTTCACACAAAATCCTGGCGATCACTACGGTATTTTGGCATCGATTCGACCTCCCAGTGAACGGTAATTGTCCCTTGCACGTACCAATGGCCTGTCGGAAATCGAGGCACAGACCTCAAAACATGACCTAGCCCCGTCCGTGGAACGCAACCGCTCCGTCTTACTAACGTCCAGCACACCCGGGTCTACGCAAACAAGGTCGCCTCCACAAGCGCCCGATCAGTCAGTCGTCTTTGTAACGGTCCTTGTACGTGTGCTTGTACTTGAAGCCCTTGGGCGCCTTCTTCGCTCGCTCCTTCCCGCGCCTGCGATCAGGATGCGCCTTGTTGGCCTTGAGAAGCTCCACCTGCAACGGGGGTGGCAATCACCACACATACGATACAGTAGTAAGGGTCCGGGGATTAGAACCACAAAAATCGGATCGAGGCTCGGTTTCATATTTCCATCGCCGCTGTGAAGCACAGGTTGTCATATAGAGAGAGTTTGGTTAAGGATCAACCGCTGAGCACTGTTCCTCCACCCTTTTCTCAAAGTTTCCGTGAAAAATTGAGCGTCTGTTTCTTGACAAAAGCATTTCTGAGCTGGGGGCCCATATTGCAAGCATATCGCGAGAAAATTAAACAACGGCGGAACGTTTGAACGGACCAACAAAGGAGAACAAGGCCGCCATACACAGTGAGAGTATTTCCGATACGAAGAATCGCCAAAAACGACGTGGCTAAGTCTTGTGTTGTTTATCCTCAAAATGCTTCAGCGACAGGTCATGGGAGAGGGTGCAAAATAATGTTAACGCTTTGGGGCTTGCATCGAAGCCGCTTCATCCAGTCGATCGGCTAGACCAAAAACGGAATCGGTGATAGTTGCCAATAGTACTTCTATTTACTTGGCGGAAAGTAGCAAATTTGTGCAGGTGCGCTGATGGACTGCATCGAAGAGGAGTCTGTTCTGGACACCTCTGCGGGGGGTTCGGCAAACGTGTTCATGTGAACAGTCGACGAAGAGCACAGGGACGATTGGGGGCACGGGGGATGAGAATTAATGCACTCCGTACTGCGCAGGTAGCAGGTACGTGTAGCTAGCTTCTGGCGAGGGCGTGAGCAAAGCAATGACGAGCATCGCTCGCAACGGGTATGTCACCGGGTCAGCTCTTGACATTCTGGGTGTCGGACATTGTTTGGCTTGATCCCCAAAGGCGACCCTTGAGTCTTGCCTCCCTGACTTCACTGATTGCTCGTTGGTCAGCCTATTAGCGTGGCCCACGCTACCACTAGAAAATAGGCAGGGGGGGGGGTTACCATTTCGTGATCGTGTGGACTTTCCTCGGCCCGCTTTCTTTACGAGGAACACACGCTGCGACCATTGCAGCGCACCAAGCATCAGAGCTGTAGCAACGTAACGCCTAAAGCAATGACCGGTCAAGATAACCGCGAAATTTTTTGCTACCGGTTTGGTGGTGACGGATGCCAATGTGTCAATCTACCAAGAAACACCTGCGGGCAACATGAGGCGAGGACAACCGTTAACCTGGAAACAGCATCACCACCCTGCCAAGGGGCACAATTCTCGTCTGGCCGGTCTTTCTCGTCTGGCAACATACTGTAGTGCTGGCATGTCCCTGTTGTGCAGAAATGTCGCTTGATGCTCCATCTAGCGGTTTGACTTTTTATCTGTCATGCACCAGCAAATATGCAGAGCACGGTTAAAAATCAAAGCAAAACCAACATACTGTCAAGTACATTCGACAGGCAAGACTACCTTGTCGTGAAGAACGCTCCCCTGCGCCTTGAGCTGCCGCAGGCTCCCGTGCAGTTCTTCGCCCAGGTTAACCGGCACCGATCGCCCCGCAATCACGTCCTTGTTGTTCTGGCGCTTAGTGCTCAAGGCCGCCACTCCCGCACTTTTTTTTGTTTCGGCGGGCGAGAGAGACGGACCGGGAACCAAGATCCTCAACTCTCGGGAGACCCATTATTCCGTGGACGGCAGCGCTTGTGCCACAGGTATCCTACATCGACAACCAGACCCAACCACGCGTGTATGCTTACGGCAATGAATCTCTTACCGCTGACCGCAACTCTAAGCACCGATATACGCAGGGTTGTCTTGCAGCTTCGCGGAACGCGAGAGTGTGGATGACACAGATAACCATCTCCAAGTTGTCGTATTCATCGGTGACGCAAGAAAACATTGGTTCGTGATGCCCATCCATGAGAGACTTAACCCTAAAACCAATGGTTAAATCAATTTTATTCTCCCGTCACTTTCCCCTCTCGCTCCTACATCACAGATCCGAAAAACAACGAGGCAAGCAAGTCCATGGTGTGGCTAGCACGCCCGGGCAAGAAGCTGAAACGTTGACACCAACCCACGGTCCATCGTATCCATAGCGCGGATATATCATCATGCCAAAGCTAGACTACGCATGCAACGTTTCCCATGTCAGAGAAACACTTTTACTTTCACCCTCGCCTGGAACGGGCTTCGATGGCACCACAGGATCCAAGTATTATCACACAGCTGGGAAAAACGCTTGCAGCCTACCACTAAGAAGGAAAATTCGAATACTCGCAGTTCTGCTTCCACAAACGCTTCATCTGAGGGGGGGGGGGGGT